ATATATATATATAATACTCACAACTTGGTTTGAATACTTTCTTAAGCAATAAACATTATAAAAAATTTATTTTATTTAAGAATAAAAAAAAATTATGAAAACTATTATAATCATTTAGAATGAAAATATTATAAAGCAAGGCAATAAAGATTTTACAATTTTTAATATTTTTAGTATGTTATTTTTGATATGTTGACAGATTAAATTAGTATGAAATCACATTTGTTTGGAAGAATAAAGTGTTCTTATCAAATAAATATTTTACACTTCTAATAGTGTCATTTTTAACATTAAATATAAATCTTGGCCTAGAAGATATGCAAAATAAATGTAACAACACTTCCATTCAATATTTAAATTATCTTCAAGTTGTAGTTTAATATTACTATGCAAATTTACTTACCCAGAAATTGTTTTATGCAATGTACAAACATAATCATCAAACGATTTTTCACTGCAAGCATGAGGTGAAATATTTCCAGATGGATGTGATGAACGATTTCCTAAAGTTGGACTAGGACAGGCACTGCTACGAGCACTACGACATGGAGAACTCCCTGGTGTACGATTTTCTAAACTACGTGGATTCTTTTTTAGTGTTGAATTGGGAATCCATGAAAGAATTAATGTTGAGCCAAGCACCTTAAAATAATATTAAATAAAAAATATTTATATCTTACCAACAGGAGAAAAATTGTTTTTAAAATTAAAATTCATAAAATAACAATTTGAACTCAAATATTTTTGAAAATTTCAGAGATTAATCCATAAAGAAAGCAACTATAAAATTGAAACTTATACCTTACAAACAGTAAAATAAAATATAATCTTTAACTTAAAAAATTTATATAATTTCCAGATAAAGTAATATAAAATGGTAAAACATTTTAACTGTTTTTTATAAAGTCTCAATTCTTGGAGAATTCTAAAAAAATTTTTGATATTTAAAAATATTACATTTAATAATAAAGACTAAAAGAAATGTCATTGACCAAGTCCACATACAGTTAATTCTAGTCATGTTATTGGAAGATTACTGACACAATGATTTTTCCAAATATTAAGCATATATATTAAGCACATTGAAAGCATTTTATAATGACTGTTACACTGATAATTATTAAGCACATTTCTAACGCAACAAATATTGACAGGTGTGTTGGATGAATGAAAAAAAATTACAACTTGCAAGCATTATTAAATAAATTCCATACCATACTTTTATTGTAAGCTTTTCTAATATTCCAAATATGAATTACAGGAATTTAATACAACAAGATTTATCAGAATTTTCCATTTGGATTAAAAACAGAGTTATTTGCAACTTGATTGAAAAGTTAATACAGACTTTTGTATTAATATAATAGTAAATTTATAATCAATAATACACCACTGTCAGTTTAACCTAATTCAAATAGCTAAAGTAAAATGAAAGACAAGTTTATTGCAAATATTTTTTATGTGCTAGTAAATAATTCATAAAATTTTCAAACATCATGTGGAGACTTATCAGATGTAAATAATTTTCTTCATTAAAATTAAAATTACTTTTATGTTATGTTATTATTATAATGTAGAGAAATGGTTTTTGTTTTAATATGTTTACAGAATGCAAAGAATTTTATTCATACAGTTCCTTATATATGTTATACTTATTACTTACATAATCCTATTGCATTTTAAAAAAATGCACAAAAAAAATCTATAATTTACGTTAATTGACAGTAAACTTTCACATAAGTTTGTTTTTATGAAATTAAACTGATATACAATATACTTTTAAAAATTCAAAGTAGAAGGGATAGAGAAAAATTTGAGTTATGGAAACCCTACCATTATTTTAATGAAATCATAAATAAAACAATTCAAACAATACAGTTTGACTTAAACACATTTTATTATTATTCCATTT